AATTATATTCTAATTATTTTCTATTTTACTATAATTTGTCATGGTATCAAGCGCAGGTTGATTTTTTTTAATTTTTTTTAGCCATGGCCGGTGATGATCAAACACCATCGGAGCATGAAATTTCAAGCTATTTATTTACACCTTCGTACCCCCTTTGCCACAATGGAGTCCACGCTGCCAGGGGGGGGTGCTGCGCCTACATGGCAGTCCACGCAGCCCCTAACCAATCCCAATAATGAGCATACTTCAAATCTGCAGTTAAATTTCACCACTGACCACTCGAAGGTGCTTTTGGGTTTTGTGGGTAATGACAAATTTGATAATTCTTGTTGGATTATTGATACCGGAGCAACTCATCATGTTACCGGTAATAGTTCATGGTTATTTGACACACACATCATCGAATGTCCGGTTGGCTTACCGAATGGTGACCGTGTATTTGCTACCTTGGAGGGTTCCGTTTGCTTGTCCGATAAAATCACAATCACCGGGGTTCTTTTTGTGCCTCATCTTCATTGCAATTTAATCTCTGTCACTCAACTTAGTGATCAATTAAATGTTGTTGTCCAATTTAATTCATATATGTGTGCTATACAGGACCGACTGAAACAGCTGATTGGAACGGGGCTTCGGCGAGACGGTAATTTGTCACATTTGCATGCATTTGTTGCATAAAATGAATGGAAATTGAGTAACTCACCAAAAGCTAAGTTTGGCTATAAATGAGTTATAATTAGGTCAAAAATATATATCAAATAAATCCAGTAGTTTATTGGTGTGTATGAAATTATTGTCATCTCACAAATTAAATACGAGTCCTCTTATTCGAGCCACCCAAATGATGCGAAAGCTACCATGCATGCACATTGCGCGTATTTATAACATACTATTACACGTTTAGACCCCGCACCATTTATGTAAACACTTTAACCAGCTTTTAATTACTTTGTACGAGAAGTATATAAGCTAAGGTATTTTGCTTGGTGGTTTATTAAAAATATAAAGTTAGTTTTATAAATGTAAAAATACAGTAGTAGTTGATTACATTCACAGCATATCACTTAAAAGTCCATACGCATCTAAGGAAATAAATTGGAGGGTCTCCTAATGTCCTTTTTTTCCTTACCTTAAAAAAAAAGAAAAAACCAAGGAAATAAATTCTTTTATTATCCAACATGTACCAAAATATATATTTATTTCATAAACCGTAAAATTGTACCAATATGAATTGAAGGATAAATTATTGTTCAACAACAGAGCCAGGGTATCATCATTAATCGATTGAATCTAAGTCTCTGAGACCATTTAATTTACTGACCAAATCCAAATTAGGATTGGTACACTTCTTAGTCACAATTTTTGCAAAATGTATATGTAGGGTTAGGCTCAAAAAGAAGCAAACTTATTAAATTGGTTTATAGCTCTACTACCTTCTTTATCTAGGGGTTATAGTTAATAACTAGTTTTTTGGCCCGGGCGTTGCCCCGGGTCATTGTATGCATATAAAAATACTATATTAAAAAGGAATAATTAGAAAAAATAATCCAAACTTTCATTTATTCTGGAATAATCCGAACTTTGGGGGGTCTTCTTTTTCTTCAATCCCAAATACCGGTTACCGGTTGAATGGGTTATTTATTTATTTATTTTATTAAAGTGACACGTGTCACGAATCAATTGGCTAAAAAAAATTTAAAAACAAATTAAGAACAAAACCCACCAGCCAAAGCCCAACCACCTAGCCAATCCGGCAACCGCCCATGCCAGCCACCTACATACATTGGTGGTTTTATAAAAACAATATCGACCATTTGTTAATTATTAATTAATATGAAGTAACTAAATATTATATCGTATCATTAAAATTCCTTCTAGTAACAAATTTCTTTAGTTAAAAAAAAACCTTTATTTAAATTTGGGTTACACATTTTAATACTTAAATATAAGTGTATAACTTATACTAAAGGTTGAGTAATGGAAAAAAATGAAATTAATTTTATAATTATATTGTTGTCAAAATATACACATATAAGTTGGCTATTAAAATTTTTGTATTTATAAACGTGAATAACTCTTTTTAATACAACTTTATTATCATAAAATTTGTTGTTGGAGTAATGGTTAGAGTTTAACTTTAATGAAGACAAGGTCATGGGTTCAAATATTATTGCTCACAAATTATTAATTTTTGTGTGGAAACATTGATGATTGGTAATAGTATGTGACATGGCAACACGTGGCAAGATTACAATGCTTGCCTTTGAGTTTTAATATATATATTGATTGATTAGTTTATGATCTGAAAGCATCGGAGGAAACACAAGTATGCAACGATATACAAGGATAAATTAAAATCGCAAAGCAACATCATAACAATCTAATATGCAACATGTTTAGGGTAATTTTACCCCGCCACGTGGTCTAATCAGAGGACGACACGTGTCAGCCTCAGGATGGCCAAAGAGAACCAATCTCTGCTTGACACGTGTCACTCCAGAAAATAAAGGAAAAAAGGGCGGCCTTCAGGCCCAAATCCCGAGAAAGCCGCAAAGCGGCGCAGCCCACCACTGATTAGGGTACAGTGACCTAATTAGGGGCTCAAATCCCAAAAACCCTATAAATAGGGAGATGACCCTCTTTTTGGGGGGACGTTTTGATCATTTATTACACATTTACTCTTTGATAAAGACATCCTGATTTTGGAATCCGAGCAGATCTCTACCTAAATTTCCGCACCTTTTTCTCCCTTCAAGTTTCTAACTTGTGCGTCGGAGGCGGAGCACCACCCATCTGGTGTCTCCGTTTGTTTTGCTGGTACAGCTCACCCCGGACCAGTCTTAGTGTTGTAACTCTCCCGAGGGACAAAAACACCCAAAACACAACATATATTTTGCAAAAATGGATCTACTCGGTTATTAGGAATGTTCTTACGTACTCATATAGTCATATATACTCCGTATATGTATAAATCATGCTTCTTCACTTGTTAATATATTTATAAATCATAACGATATACGGAGTCATTAATATAAATACAAGTATACATGGGAAAGATAAAAATTCTTCAATGATCCTGACTCGTTAAGCGCAGGAAACGCTACAACTTGATGGTACTAAAGAAAAAAGCCAGACTACTTTTGATATTCTGAAAACTCCACATTAAAATATCACTTTCTAATTAAGAAGTACGTACTTGTATTGTATAAATAATAAATCTATCTATTTCTATATTTGATAAGTGGTGCAAATATGCTTCTTTCTAAACTGCCTGCAGAAGACAACTCAACTAAAAAAATTGAAGTATGGAATCCTCAACTACCAAACCATTTACCAGAGTCATTCAATTTTAAGCCTTTAAGACTACTATTACACATACACCCAATGGACCATAGAGCGCAAAGCAAGATCTAAAAGATCAAAATTGTCATTCACCAATTCAATTCGATCTACACGTAGTATTATTAATTCAATTTTAGAAAGTATTACTCAACTACACGTAGTGCTATCAATTCAATTTTAGAATGATACTATTACTCAAGATATGATATCAAATCTCGTCTATTTCAACGGTACCCTTTGAGAACCCTTTTGAAAACATGCATTCAATAGAGTCATAGTGTACATCAAATCCTTAGCTTAGCACCCTTCTGAGCCAACAATCACATGATTGTAATGAAATTGTGGGAAATTTCTGTAAGTCTGTCCAATGACAATGATGAATATTGAATATCATCACATTTGAGAACTCTTACCTTGTATAAACTGAAGCTAGGGTAAATAACAATTTAATCTTCAATGCAAAATTAAATTCCACGTGGATGAATAAAGAGTTTTCTTAAATTATAGTGAGTAATGACTGAAAACAAATAATCAGCTAACAAGAAACTGATCCAATTAATTATGGATTCAAGCATTCAACCAACTTGAACCACTATAATTTGATGGTACAAAAAATAAAAATCTTTTGTTAACATCAAATAACAAGCTAATTCAATCAATTCTTAACACAGACACTTAACCAAATCTCGAGGTCAGCTTCATTCGCCCCTTGCAAGATAATGGGCTGTGGTCCTTTTTTGTGTTTAAAGTTTAAACTATGACTTTGCCCGTCCTATTCTATTTAATTTTTTTTTTTTTTTTTTTTTTTTTGGGAAATCCTAGTCTATTCAATTCATGCTTATCTAATTTTAGGCTTATAAATAAATAGACTGATTATATATCGGACTATTGCAATATCAATTTTTTATTTTATTTTTTGGCTGATGAGGACGAAATCAAGGCCAAAGAAGAAACAAGGCTAAAACAAAATTACAAATAAATTAAGGAGAAGTGAAACGAGACATTGTTATGCACCTATACCTACCCTGTCATATCCTCTTCTAAAATACTACGGAGTACTAAGAGCTAAAGGTATGTATTCCATGGTCTAACTTTTATGTGTTAGAGCCACTTCAAGGTTGGCTTAGCCAATCAGCTGCAAAATTTCCCTCCATATTGATCATAGAACGACATTACAATAATTGATCAATTGCAGAAACTCGCCAGTCACCAGCCTAAGTCAACTTAGATTAGTTGTAACCTATTGTTTCTAGAGTATCTTATTGTTAATAGTCTGTTGAGTCTTAGTCTATCATTAGCTTAGTCAGTGTGTGTCATCTAGCTTATTAATAAGAAGTATCTTTTTTTTTTTTTTTTTTTTTGAATAGCTAATAAGAAGTATCTTATACTGACAAAGTGTGCTTAAAAGCATGAACACATGCTAGATTATCAAGTTGGATCAATAATCTGCTTATCGCATTTCTCTAGCTAGTTCAATCTCACAAATAAGAGCCATATTTTCTGCCCAAAATAATTGCAGGACTTACAATTTGCGGAAAAAGCCGAGACCATAGTTTCTAAATCCTTAATTTCACATTATTTGCATGTTTATAAAACTGTTTCAACATTATTCATCACCTGAGATAATTGTTTTTCTGGGGGTTGGGGGAAACTGATAATAATTCTTGAAGCAGTTAATTTGATTAGAATGGGATCTTGGCGATATTTGATCAATTCCAAAAGTTTTAAAAGAAGTTTAAGCCTCCAAGACAAAGTTTGGTCGCCATACAAACAACTTCATCATTCATAGTTCAAATGAGATAACAATTTCATAGATTGGTGCACCACATCGCACCCCTGGTTCAGTGGGGGGATGGTTAACCACCACATGACAATTGCCATACACTAGCGTCTAACATTTACAGCAACTCCATTTTTTGCATGGATGGCCCCATCTTCCCCCAGCCCCTTCCCTTGAATTAAAGGGATATATTGACACATTTCCGGAAAAAAATAAATTAATGGCCGGGGGTTGGAGGATCAAGGGTCGATTTCATAACTTTGAATCTTCATCATTTGAATCACTTTTCCAAACGACGTCTTTCAGTCCTGATGAGAAATTCTTGAAGAACTGTCATGGAACAACAACAAATGTACATAGTGTTAGTTCTATGTAAACTACCTCAGGCTAAAAATATTATCAGAACTAATAAACACTGAAGTTTAAAAAGAAAGCTGCTTACCTTGTGAAATTCCAAAGTATCACCTCCAGTTTTACGCAACTCTACTACATGAAAAGAAGGCGCTACTTCAAACACCTGGGGTCAAGGAGAATGTAACGTATTAAAGATTGTCCCCAATCGAAGTTGTATTGATCTTCACAACTAATGATACATAGAGTTGTATACAACAAGCAATATACATATATATATTAGATCAGATAAGAGAGGATACCTCTGTAGCCACAGAAAGGCGTCCCTTTCTTCCACTTGCATGACCTTGCAGCTTCATCTAGAAAGGATAAGAAAGAAGAAAACATATAAATCATGATTAACACAGGTATTGAGGCCAAGCATGCTACATCGAATAGAAAACTGATGAAGACAGAACGATAGTCACCTTATAATTTTGCTTACGAACATTGAAGTCTAAAGACTTTGCAGCTTCCTCAATCTTAGACACAATCTCATTTGCAGGGCACTGGGAAGTAAACCTTGTTTCTCGCTTTACAGTACCCTGTAAGGTAAATTTGAATAACAAAGAAGTTAAGCACGAACTTGGTAAAATATATACAATTAAAGGAACAGCAAATATCAATTATGAAATAACTACTTCGGTTATCAAAGGTTAATAAAAAAAATTAGCATCCTGAAAGAGATAATGGTGAGACCAATTATAGAAAAGCTTGTCAAACCAGCCACAGGCCTATCATCCCAAATTCCCAATGGCACTAACAACACAAAGCACGGTGGGTGAAGTCAGATGTATATATAGAGCTTTGAACATAAAAGTGCAATGAACCACTTGTAGGCTAATAGCAATTGCTCTAAAATTGCAAAGAGTGATTCTGTCTGTCAGATTCTTGATTTAAAAGGCGAGCTTAATAGCCTACTACTACATACAAAGCTGCGCAACAAATATTTATAAATTGATGAACAATAATTTAGTCCCTTGTATCCACTACTCTTATGACATCCAAATTCCCACATCTACCAATATTACAGCTTACTTCAGAGTTGGTTATGAAGATAAAACTCTGCAAGATTAGTAAGAGAAACATACGGGTTCCCTATTGAAGAGACTCTCAAGACTGAAACCTTGTGACCCAGAAATAAGCTCAAAAGCATTCATTGATACAGGCTTCTCCCGTCTCTCTGTTACAAGATTTTCCTGCAATGAAAATAATACAAATGAGAAACCTATTTAAAATAATACTGTCAAAAAGAATGTCACCATACCATAATAAGCTGATTTTATTTCTCCTAATTGTCTTAAAACGTTAGGGTAAAATTAATTATAAGTTTCAAGCTACCAAAATTGACACAAGCTAATTAACAAAAAGAATGTTCACATTTATTGGACTGAATAACATGACTCAAGGAATGTTTGATTAGTTTGAGGTGGTTTACTCATTTTCACAAAACGCCATATATTTTTGAATGAGAAGATACAACTTGCTAGCTCACAAGGTTAACAAAAAGAATGAGAAGATACAAGCTGATTAACAAAAAGAATGTTCACATAGTAACCCTTTTTAAACCACTAGCTAGCTCACAAGGTTACAGGTTGGAAACAAATCTATTCTATATCGCCATACTATGATGAGAAAAATAGCCTCTGTGATCACTATGGAAAAGAAAAGGAGTTTAGCTCTCGTAATCAGACCAGAATCCAAATCTAATATTACAAACATAATGCTCACCTCTGAGTCGTCAAAAGCAGCATCTACATCATCAAGATTCACATCACTTTCCTCAGCAAAACTCGGTGGATGGTAATCCTTTTTAAACCATTCATCTTGCAAAATTTCTGAGATTGTAATTCTCTGCAGATAGATAACATTCTCATTAAAGAGCGCCAACTTTGACCAAGTGTGAGTAGATGCACAAGAGTTTTCAATGATGGGATCTTACAGTCAGAGGATTAGGATCAAGAATACGTTTGATAAACTTCCTAGCACCAGAAGAAAACCATGAAGGAGTAACAAAGGAACCATTTTGGATCTGCAGTAGAAAAACAACTCCTGTCAATGATTTTTGTTAATAAGTAGTGCATCAGACGGTAAAAAATATCCTCAACGCTCACTTTTTTGTATAAATTCATGAGGTTTGGGTCATCAAAGGGCAAGTACCCTGCCATAAGGACAAAGAGAATGATCCCACAAGACCATATATCAGCTGCTGTACCGTCATAGCCTTTATCAGTGAGCACCTGATTGGAAATGCAGGAAATTAGAACATATGTAAATTTAACAATAATGGTAGATATAATACTGAGACTCTGCGAGTAAATACCTCAGGAGCAACATAATTAGGAGTTCCACAGGCAGTGTGAAGTAGACCATCTTCCTGCAAAATTCCCAAATACTATGTTTAAAAGTACTTTCAAAAGACAAGGAAAAATTCAGTTCAGCAATCAGCACTTAGGTATTCAACTGATAAACATAGCTCTTTATAAACACGAAAAACCAAGTATTCTTACCCTCACTTGCTGTGAAAATGCACTTAATCCAAAATCGGCAACTTTTAGAACACCATAGGAATCCAAAAGCAGATTCTCCGGCTGCAAATTAAATTATGTGTTAGATAGGGAGAAGAAGTAACCAATACAGAAGGACAAGTAGGCATGTTATTACTAGACTGCATGCAGATGGAATTTTCTCTCAAAGAAGGAAAGGAAAAACTATAATCAAAGAAAAAGAGGAGAAGAAAAACCTTTAAATCCCTGTGGTATACACCTCTGCTGTGGCAGTAATCCACGGCGTTGATTAGCTGCTGAAAGTACATCCTGGCTTTGTCTTCCTTAAGTCTGCCTTGTTTAGCCTGTACAAGAGTGAGCTCAGATAAGATTCCTTCTAAAACAGAACAATAGTACATGGCATGATTTCATTCATACAGACATTTGTGTGCAAGAGAAATGCATTAATATAACCCATTCCGTACTAGGGAAGAAATTTTCATTAAAATTACTCACAATTAAGTCAAAGAGCTCGCCTCCATCAACTAGTTCAAGAACAATATAGATCTTTGTTTTGCTTCCCATTACCTGTTCAGACAGACGCGATTAATCACATTCAGATTTCAGACACATGTTATCATTAGAAGTAAATACAACACGTTGGATTGCATCCTAAACTACGATGGAAAGAAATCAAGGAAGCAGCGAGGCAATATAACCCAGTACATTGCAGATTAAACTTCATTAAGACTCAACCAAGAGAATGTCACACAGATCGCTTTTTAAACATTAATGATGCAATACTTATTTGAACCTACTTCACCCTTTTAGTACTGCAGCCATAAAATTAAGCACGACTGCAGGCTGCGATTACAGATACACAAACATATGCACTTATCTAAGCAAAGAGAGTCCCATTTGACATCTAATTGAAATTACATACAGTAGGCAGGCCGAGAAAGATCAACTTTTTTTTTCCACAATCCTGACCATTTGAGACCAGTAAAGGAGTTAATATTGGACCGAATTTCACCTTTAGACTACCTAATCAACATTGTGCACCACATTTACCTCCGGCCCTTAGGCACTGTCTCATCCTAATTGAATACGAATATGCATGCCTTTACCAATGTTATTCAAAGTTTATCAAGCAAAGGTCTCTTTTATGTCAAAGACTCAAAGCTCTAAACTAAACCTCAGTTACATACTTGTAAATCATTCAACTTATGTTCGGCTTTGAAATGTAAATTCCAATCCTTGTCTTAATTTATCTAAACTTATTACAAGTAGATTAAGTTCGGAGAAGATCAATGCAGGACCTTTCCGTCTAATAAGTACATATAAGTTCATGAAAATTTTCCATGTCCTAGTTAAACAAAAGACCAATGTAACACGTCTTGATGAAGTTCACGTAAAAATTGTAACTTTTACGGATTACTCTATAATTTAAAGCATTGAAGAATAAACAAGAAGATTAGTACCTCATAAAGTTTAACCACATTAGGATGCTTAATCACCTTCATTGTCGAAATCTCCCTCTTTATCTGGTATAATTAAATAATATACATTAAACAAAAAAATTAATTATTGAAAATCATTTGTACGATAAAAAATAAGCTCTATTATGACTACGGAATAACGTTAATAGAATATGCTTCAATTATTCTCATAACAATAACAATGAAAGTGAGAGTATAAGAAATCAATGATTCATACAAAAAATAAATATATGTACGGTCCGTATTGAAAGTCAAAAATCAAATCAAAATAAACATCATAAACCAAAATAAAAATTATAAAGTGAGGATCTTTCGAGAATTACAGAGCATAAAATAATCTTCCATTCAAATTTTGGATGTCATCATACCAGAATTAAAAAGTCTAATCATCCAAGATAATTTTTTTTTTTAAAAAAAAATCGTTCCCAGAATTAAATTATTTTTTAAAAAATTAAAAGCAACCTCGTACGATATTGATGTATACTGATATTATACTGTATTGTTTATTCATGTAGATCAACCAACTCCAAATAAAAAAAATCAAAATTACAAATTAAAAAAGGTTGTTTATAAAGTTGGTTAAAAAAAATGTCAAATTTCAATAATCACAAATATTTTTTTAATAAATAATCGTAATCAACATCATCAAATAATAATTCAATTGTTAATCAAAATTAAATCATAATTCAATTGAGAAGAAAAATTAAAACCTGTTCAACCATCTTGTGTTGGAGGAGATGTTCACGACTGAGAACTTTAACAGCGACAAAATCCGAAGTTTCAACATTTTTAGCTAATTTCACCTTGGCAAAGTTTCCCTCACCAAGCGTTTTTCCCAATTCGTATTTACCGACTCGAGTTCGAGTTGCCGGAGTTCTCCTGTTCATTCTCCGCCGATGATATTTTTTTTTTAATTTTTATTATTATTAATATTTTTTTTTTTCAAATACAACAGATACATAAGTAGTTGTATTGTTTGTGTTTTGTAACTCCACAAAAATAAATATGAAAGAAATCAATGAGATATAAGAAATAAATAAATGAATTGATTTGGTTTGGTTTTTTACAAGAGGGGTATGTGTATATCAGGTATGGGTTTTGTCTGGGGAAAAAATGGGGGGAAAATGAATGAAATAAAAGAAGGAAATTAAGTTGATAAGGGTGAAATAATAATTGAGAGAGGCCACAAAAATACTCGCACTGTACACGGTGTTGACGTGGCATGTGGGACCCAGGTTCATAAGTGAGTATGTTCCAAAAGTGGGGTCTTTTGGATTTTCAATCAAGTATTACCAAGATGGTCCTTACTCTCATTTTTCTTAAGACAATCATCAATTTTGTGTTTGTTGACGACATCCACGTTTAAATTTGTCACATGATGTATCATTATCATCTGGTTCAATTTATCTATGATGATTTGAGGCTTCGTCTAATTAGGGGTGTGCATAATCGGGTTTATGATGAAATTTAATTATGAGATTTGTTGGAGTAATGAAACTTGATTGTACCTGTGTACGTTTTTAAATGTATTTATTATGCATTAAATATAAAGGTGTTATTGTAACCATAGAACATGCAAGTTAAAGATATGTTTAATGTACAATATAGGCTATATAGCATTAACTTGTATTGTACCATTGTACGTAAATGTCTGTAATTTGTTAATTCAGTTAAATGTCTGTAATTTGTTAATTCAGTTATATTACTCGGTACTTTGTTGTAATTGCAATAATCTGTATAATATGTTACTCGGAGTAAAAAGTATTTAAATCCTCTAAACCAAATGTATCAGTATAATATGAAGGAGAAAAATCCACAATTTTATTTATTTATTTTCAATAGAAAAATATCCACCTAATTCAACTTAATCATATCCGTCCTCCCATTTAAAATTAGCTTATCATGTCGAATTTTGAGTTTTAAAGTTTGTTACCAAGTAAGCATTCCATTATCCTTCTTTTGTAGGTGCTAAATTTTTAGTCCATTAATTAGTCTTTTTTTTGCTGGTAATGTTCCATTACCTTATTATAATGTTATTAAATCTCTTTCCATTTTCGTTGTTATTTGGAGCTGAGATAGAAGATCCGTTTCATACTTTCATATTATGTGTAACAAAGGCATTGACATAAACTTCTAGGTAAAATTTGTTTATGAATGTTAAATTGAGAGAGAGTGATATAAATGTATGTGGTGAAGAATAAGATAAAGAGAAATGACTTTAAAAGGAAATAAAACATTTGTTATACCACTTATATAACGTGTAACATTCATTCTTAATAAATGTTGCACAAAATGTGAAGCAGATGTACTCCCTCCATTCCAGAATAATTAAGATGTTAGACTTTAGTTTTTTTCTAATATAATAAAATATATTTTTTTGGGTCCAATTTATCTAATTGGGCCTAATCATGTATTTGGGTCTAATTATCTTATTGGGCCTGGTCATTAAATGACTTCATATTCCAAGGTCAAGGCCCGAGCCTCCAATCAAGCCAAATCAACCAAGAGTCCTTTGGTCCGAATTGCCATGGTCAGCCCATGACTATTTAAAGGCCCAATTACTCTCCTCTCATCATGTGCAAAGGTATAAAAGCCTTCAATTCATTCATTCATATACAACAAAGCCTCTAATCTCTTGCATAGCTTTTTCTCTCTAAACACTGTTTGACTTCGGCATCGGAGGGGTCTTCCTCGGATCCACCCCCGAGGCCAGTTTACGTGTTTTAGTTGTGCAGGAAACCTTCGGCCCATCATCAACTGGACCGGACCAGTTTTCAGCCATTTCAGCGGGCCTTCGGCAAGGCCCCATTGTTTTCATCCGAAACAATTTGGCGCCGTCTGTGGGGAAGACTTTCAAAAATCTTTAAGCCAAATCTTTAATCAAAATCATCTTGCAATCATCTTAGTAGCAATGGCTAAGAACCGCAAGAGCAAAAGCCTCCGTCAAGGAACAGGCAAAAAGCCTAAAACTCCTACGCCATCACCCTCACCGGACCGGAACTCTCCCAAGGGTGCCAGTTCGGGGGGAGGATCATATAGGGAGGATTCCCTTTCTCCCGTAATTCACAACTCTCATCATAGGCCGAGTCCCTCTCGGTCTAGCAGAGGTCAGTCCGATCATAGGACTCATTCAGTGCCCCAAAGCCAACCATCGACCATCCGCTCTCATTCCCACACTCAGCCGAGGACCCCTTTGACGGGGCCCAGCTCGGAGGAGGTGGCGAGAGCGCTGACAGTGCTCATGGAGGCAATGAGGGCACAAAATATGCCTCCACCTCGCGATCGAACTCCTCCGCATACCCGGCATCAGCGGAGGAAGCGAGACCATGATGGTGGGAAACCTTCTTCCTTCCGGGAACTGGAAAAGTGGGAAGAGGATACCTGGAGAACTGAAAGAGAGAGGAAAAAGAACCCTCAATTTTTCAGAGGATCCTCAACCCCCCGACCAGAAACGCATAAGAGCAGCAGCTCAGCTTCTCGGCCAGAATCTGCTCGCCGAGAACAACCTGAGACTGTTCGCCGAAGCGTCCTCGACCGACTCAGCGGCAAGGAACCGAGCGTGCACAGTCGCCTCTCGTTCCCCGCAGCCGAGGCCCAGACTTCCCAGCCAGGGACGAAAACCACTCCTACCTCTCTAAGAGGGCGGAGCGCGGTCCCTTTCGGCCAGGAACAAGGGCAAGGCCGTTATGCTACCCACCAGTTCCCCATTCGAGCAGTGGATACTGGAAAAGCACGTGCCCACGGTTAAAATACCGTCGCACATCACATATGATGGGACTTCGGATCCGAAGGACCACATTGCCTCATACGAGGCTCATATGCATCTTTGCCCCAGGTCCGAAGCGACTTGGTGCAAATATTTTCCAACCACTCTCAAGGGGGTCGCGCAAGCGTGGATCTCCAAGGGAGTAAAACAAAGCTCTATAACAGGATGGGATGACCTGTCCACCAAGTTTAGGAGCAAGTTTTCCACGGAAAACCGCCGAGAGAAGACTACTGCAGAACTCATGGGTCTGCAACAAGGGGAGGCCGAAAGCCTCTGAGACTATCTGACCCGTTTCAGCAACGAGTCATCCAGCGTCTCTCAGCTGGACCAAGGGCTAGCCGTTTTTGCAATGCAGAATGGCCTTCAGCCTGGGAAGTTCCTAGACTTCATGGTCATGCATACCCCGCAGACCCTGGAGGAAGCTCTGAACGCCTCGGATAAATTCATCCGAGCCGAAGAGTGGAACAAAACAAAAACCCAACCTCAATCTGGGGGAGGGAAGCAAAAACAAACACCCTTGTCTGAAGGTCAAGGCTAGAGGACAAAGGGAAAGGCCAAGGCCTCGGAACAATCTTCGGCCAACGAGCCGAAGAAGGAAAAATCTGCCTCATACACAGGCAGATACGAGTCCTACACTCCGCTCTCTCTTCCACGCGCCAAAATTTACAGCGTAACGAAGGAAGAGCAGAGTTACCGAAAGCCGAGACCACTCCCAGAGTGGTATCAGCGAAAAAATAAAAATCAGTAGTGCGAGTTCCACGAATCTCCGGGACATAACACTGAGGAGTGTATCCAGCTGAAGGACCAGATCGAGGACATGGTCCGGAAGGGATACTTGAAAAAATATATCGCGGATCACCACGAGAAAAAGGAGGTCGAGAAGTCAGCAAAGGACTCTCGGCAAGACCTCGAGTTCCCCCGGAAGAACAGTAAAAATGCGGAGGGAAAATTCTCTCCGATCAATGTTATCTCGGGAGGAATATGCTCTCAGAGGGAACACAAGCTACACCTTAGGGCTCTGACCCACCAGGTGAACAACGCTGACATTCAGCCTCCCCAGTCGCCGGTGTCGAACATGATGTTCATAGCCACCGACTGCCGGGGGGTAACATTCCCTCACGAGGACCCATTGGTGATCATCGCCACGGTGGCCAACCACGACGTCAGCAAGGTCCTTGTTGACGGTGGCAGTGGAGCAAACATACTGTTCCGAAAGGCCTACAATCAAATCAAGCTGAAGCCCAAGCACCTTACGCCGGTACCCTACCCGGTATCCGGATTCAACGAGGCTTCAACTTATCCAGATGGGAAGGTGACACTTCCTGTCACCATCGGCTACGATGAGGCAGCCAGGAATGTCATGACTGAATTCTTGGTCATTGACGCTCCTTCAGTGTACAACGTGATCTTGGGGAGACCCATAATTCACGAGATCTAAGGGGTCGTCTCAACTTATCATCAGCTGATGATTTACGTCTCAGACGCCGGCTTCCCTGAAAGGATCCAGGGCAGCCAAAAGGACGCCCGAAGGTGCAACTACCTCAAGCCATCCACTAGTCGCCCAGGTGACGACTACAAGGATGAGGAGGAGAAAGAAAAAGAAAGAAAGCCAAGCACAAAAAATCCGAAAGGCCTAAGTGCTTCGGCCCAAGGATCTGTGCCCAGAGAAAAAGGGCCAGAAAGGGAAAAGGCTAGCTCTTCAGCTGAGCCGAAAGACTCAGAGAGCCAGCCGAAGAACAAAAAGACTGGGACACCTGCTGACATAGACAGCAGGCCAGATTGTGAAGAGTCCAGTCTATCAGCAATGGACATGAACCAGCAGACTGAAACGGTCGAGTTGGCCGAAGGAGACGCTGAGAAATGTGTAACAATCGGGATGGACCTTAATCCGAACACCCGTTGTGAACTTATTCAGCTCCTTCGGGACAACAGAGATGTGTTTGCTTTCTCGGCAGCTGATATTCCCGGGATAAGTCCAGACCTCATCTCCCATAAGCTTAATGTTGACCCAACGTGTCGACCAATTAAGCAAAAGAAACGGAATTACTCCGCTAATAAGAACCGAGACATCGCAGCCGAGGTCAAAAAGTTGCTGGAGGCAGGCTTCATTGAGCCTTGTCAATATCCAGAATGGCTGGCAAATGTGGTGATGGTTCAAAAGGCCAATGGTACCTGGAGGATGTGCGTTGACTTCACGAACCTAAATAAGGCTTGCCCGAAGGATTTATATCCCTTGTCGAGGATCGATCAGCTAGTCGATTCAAAAAGTGGCCATGTCTTGCTTAGTTTCATGGACGCATTCTCGGGGTATCATCAGATCTTCATGCACCCCGACGATCGAGCAAAGACGGCATTCGTCACGAACGCCGGGGTGT